TGCCCACAGTTCCAACCCCACAGCTACTACCTGAAATAGTTGTCCCAACACGGGGTGAGATATATGAATATATCTCAGTAACCCAGAAGTTCTGGAGATTACTCTACCCAATGGCTCACTCAGATGTAAATCAACAATATATTACAACAACCAAAGAGGGATAAAGCAAGGAATTTAGTAAAGTAGGGATGCATAGGGAGTAAAAATATGATGAAGCTGGAATGGTCAATGCCAAAGCCACGCAACATTCGACCTATTGGCCTCGGCATATAGCCTACGGGTTCTCATCCAAGGAAGTGTTCCCAGAACATCAACCAAGGCACCCACCATCCATAAACACCCAATACATTCCTAGAGTGCTCCTCAACGGATAACAACTCCATGACCCCAGGTCAACTAAAACTCCCTCATGGAGACCTATCCAGTGGAAGTCCATAATGCCCGAAGGCAACAGTTTACTGGCCAGAGACACGGTACATCCTATGTACCCAATATACATACATATATGCATGAACATGTTATAATACTTCATTAACATCCACCTCCAACCACTATCCTCAAGGGGCATGGTGGACCACACTCGGAGACTAACCCAGTACCAAAGTATTATCTTATGTAAGCTCCCTCTCTAGGTAGCTCCAAATCAAAATACCACCGAGCTTGGTCCAACCAGAAATGCCTACTCACAGGTCATTCTCATTTCAATTATAATCAAATAAAAACATACACATGGTTATTCAAGCATTCATGCAATTTTCCATAAACACTTACCACAATCGCTTTGGTCAAGGACCAAAGGCAACCCATCAAGCTCACCGTTCCAAGTTCACGTCCGTAGGAGGCAACCTACAATGACCACACAAGGATCATCAATACCATGGTGAAAATAAGTCAAAACACACAGCACCACACTCCCACTTACACATACATAGGTTCGGCCAAATGGCCCAAAATACCTAGCCATGTTTGTAATTTTTTTTCAATGTTCAAATGATTTCCTAAGCTCACCATAACACCAATTCAAGCCCTTAATTCCATTCAATCACATATCAACATCATTTCCCTTAAAGTTCTTCATCATGGTCGAATCGACACATACACACCACCCAATGGTTTTGCTTCCAATTCAACGCATCAAATTAACATACAACCTATTTAAACATGATTCATAATCATACAACACCAACTACATGATTTTTACATTATGCATCCTTATTTCTCCTCACATGGCCGAATTATTCATGTCCATATACCTAGGGGTATTCAATCCAATTTCACACTTCCCCACATCATACAATCCACTAATTAAGTTATACAAATACTCCACAAATCAATTACCCAATTCCACAACATTTTCATTTCACAAAGTTATGCATACCACTCATGAAATTGCCTAAATTATCAACTTTTTCACCAATAAATTTTATGAGTTCAATCACTATAAAACATCATTCTAAGACACTTTTATCTAATACACATTTTCAATTTGAGGTCCCTAACCATGTCAATCCATACAACAAGCTTTAGGGTTCATAAATCAATTCCAATGAATCAACCAATGAAATGAGTTGAAACTTACCCACAATAAATGCCTAGAACTCCTCCACACAATACCCAAGCAATGGAGGATCAAATAACTCCAAGAACATCAACTCTCCACACTAAGGTCGCGGACATGGGTCCTTGTTTTCTCTCAAATTAGTGAGTTTCATGCCTTGAGACTACTATGGTTATGTTTAGAATGTCATTTACTTAAAGTTTGGTGTAGGACTTTTTTGTTTTGAGTGAGTATTAATGGAGTTTGGATAAGAAAAAAGTTTGTAGCAAAATTTGCCCAATAATGAGGGAGGCCGCGGGTTTGGATAGAGGAAGGGGTGGGGAAGAACATGAGTAGTGTTCTTAGCTTATATGTCATCTTATAACTTAAGTGGGGTGGGTCCCACCACCACCTCACGCGATTCAAATTAATTTAAAATTCCGGCTTAAACCACTAAACGTCCATTAATTCCTAGACTATTTAGAAACTCCAATTTTTAACATTAACCATTGTCCTTTAATTGTCCTTTGTCAGATGAATCCGGAGTTTTTCAATTGTTAGGTGAAATCACAGTTTTAAGTTGTTAACCGCGTTATGGGCACTATAGCACCTCGTATTTCGTAAACGTATATTTATATTTATACATGAAAGGGTAAAATGGTAATTTGCCAAATACGTAAGCCTAGAAGAGAAAAATTGAGTAGAAGGTCTCAAATGGAAAAACGAACACTGAAAATGGATCCAGAACAAAAAATTGAGTGGTTAGGCTAGTTTCTGGAAAATTGATGAATAGTGATTTTACCAGTGTAAAATATTACGATATAATTGTACCGATAAGTGCGAAAATACGATCAGTATTTCTAGGAAGTAAAAATATGACGTGAACGAGAAAAATATGTAGGTTATTAATTTGTGGGTTAAATTAGACGATTCAAGAAAATTAAGTGACATGTGGGATCCACTTAAGTGACTTAAGTGGATGAGTAGGCTCATTCTGACAAAAAAATCAGAACACTCTCTCTTCTCTTTCTCTCCACCTTCGACCTACACCATTGGAGGGAAAGTTTGAGCTTTTCAATTTCCACCTTGAGATAGAGCCATTTTTAGGAAAAACTTCCAACTACAAAGTTGTTCCCCTTGACCTTGTGAGTGACTTTCATGTAGAGTGCATCTTGTGGAGAGCATTATGTGTGGAGAAAACCCCCCATTTCAGCCACGAAAATTGGTGCATTTTGGGGAATTTTGGTGTTTTGGGGTTTGATCCTCGGCTTGGAAATTATCCCCTTGGACCATTGGAAGCTATTGGTGGTAAGTTTTTACACTCTCATTGGGTTTTCATTGAAATAATAAAATGGATGAGGGTTTGGTTATGTGTTATGAGTTGTGATAGTTAGGAGCATTAAATGGTATATCTCCTTTGGAATTAAATGCTTAGAATGATAAATAATGATGATTGATGCAATAAAAATTATTGGTGAAATGGATTCAAACTTAGGCAAATTTTGATGTGAGAATGCATAATTTTAAGAAATTGGCATGTGGTAGGATTGTATGAGTAAATTATGGAGTATTTATATTGGTTAATTATGGGTTGTATGATGTATTCAAGTGTTGAATTGAATTGAAAACCTTGGAGGATGCTTCCATGAAGAATTCGACCTATAGGGAATTTGGAGGAAAATGATGTAAAAAATATTGTATAATCAATGGTTGATGCCTTGGTGCATAAATGGTTAAGTGGTGAGTTAGTTCAATGGTTAAAATGATTGAGATAGTTGAAATAAAGGTGAGAAGCCTTTAGGCCTAAATTGTTAGGTTGGGTATTATTGTTGTGAAAATTGCATTACTTTTATGCAAGTGTTGATGATGATGGTTGTTAATCAATATAGGTTACCTCGCACGGACTCAATAGAAGTAGATTAAGCTTGGAGCTTACGTGGGAAAGCATTACTTGCGGAGTTGAGGTAAACTCTTGGTACTGAGGTTTACCACCTTCTGTGTTCCACCACGCCCAGTGGAGGGTAGTGGTTGGATTATGTGCTCTTTGACTTTGTATGAAATGTATGTTCATGCATTATTGCCATGATTGTGTGACATGATTGGAGCATGTTATATGACATATCTATGATCTTCGACCAGTAGATGTGTGTGATTTGGACTTCCGATGGTGATATCCCTTTGGGGGATTCCGGTCGGGTTTTGCCGTGGGGCCGTCTCTGGGAGCGGCACCAGGATGATCCAAATGTGGGACTTCCGCTGGATAGGTCTCTTTGGAGTTTCAGTTGGGTTTTGCTATGGAGTCGTCTCAACCATGGGAGAGGCACCAAGAAGCTTCTCGGGAGTTATATGATGGGGTCCTTGAACGGAATCCTTGAGTAGATGTTTTTGGATGTGAGCCCAGTGTTATGTGATATTTGTATGTCATGCATTTTATATGATGATCATTGTATGCACATTGAGTGAACCATTGGGTGGAGTGATCCTCCAGTACCCTTGGTTTACTGAGATATGTTTGTATATCTTACCCCGCGTTTGGGGACATCATTTCAAGTTATAGTGAGCATGGAGGATCTTCGGGCAAAAGGCCTGCGTAGAGGAGGATTCGATCATGTGCATATGGAAAGCGTAGCATTTTGGAGGATTATATTTGATTAACATAGCATTGTATCTAGCATTTTGGACTTAGGTTATGAACATATTGCATGATGACATTGCCTTGCTTTTGGGTGTTCATGACTAGATTCTAAGTTTTTGTAATTGATGTTTATTTTGTGCCTCTTGTTATTATTGTTATTTTGGTGAGCATGAGACTTGTCCATGGCCACATGTAACATCCGCAAAATTAGAAAATTTCATAACTTGCAATTAGGGGTGTGAAACGTACTTGAAATTCGAATTAAATTTATATTTTGACCGGAACTAATTTAAGTAGGAAAAATTATTTTGATGCTAATATAAACAAGTATATGTGCATATTTTAAAAGAGTCAAGACACTAGTTAAAAAGGGAAAGTACTACATTTAATTACCATATAGGTAGGAACTTTAATTATTAACTAGTGGGTATATGAAATTACATACATTAATATCTATATATATATATATGAGATAAGTGACTCATTAGGAAATTATTTAAAACATCATGGTGGAGGTGAATGCACGTTATGAATTAAAAGTTCAAGTATGTGTAGGATAGGAATACTTTTAAGCACACTTTATGAAAACTCTAGTCACAACTTATAGCTACATGGAATTATATGGCTTAGATAAATTATGGGGTCTAATTTCCTTCATGGGCAACGGCCCAGGCTTGTAAATTGGGGTTAAGTCAACCCATTATACCTCCACTCATAATCCTTAGTTTATCTCAAAACCAAAATCTGTATACATGCGTTTCATTGGTTGAAAATAAAGTCAGATACTCATCCACCTTATCCCTTCCTACCCGTATAGTGGAGACAAGAAACAAACCAAATTTCTTGCTGGCCTTTGAGCGTGATGAGTAACCAGCGCTGTTCTCTTCTTTTCCTCCTTCCAAAGCCGAGAATCATAGAGATACACCACAACACAAGAGCTGCATTCCTTCCTTCTTCCTTCTATCATTCACAGACTTGAAGTCAGTCTCACCAGCCCCCTCACAGCCGTAAGCCCTCTAAGAGGCACACCACAAACCGTGCTAGTATCCTCTCCCCCACTATCCTTCCCACTAAACGTGAGTCCACAAGGAGACAGCAAAGCACCAAGCACACTTATCCCCTTCTTCTCCTTTCTTGATCGGCAGTACCTATCCATCAAGGAGGTGAGGAGCTTCCTTGGTTGTCTTCTTATTCCCTGTTACTTGGTTAGATTTTGACTGAAGGTTTCCACTGCATGCACTTGTTACAGTGTTGATCGAATCTCTCTTTCCCTGCATGTAGCTGGAACCGGTCCTTTGGGCAAAGGAAAGATGAAGGACTGCTCTTTGGTCGATGGTGTTTTCTGTGCGCTAGTGGGTTGGTGAGTGAGTTGTATGTTTTCTTTTTCCCTGTACTCTGATTCTGTTGGCTTGTAGAACCTAGGGAGTAATTTTATGTTTTCTCATCCTTCTATTATTTCTGCCCAAGCCGTGACTCCTTGATGTCTGCATGTCTAATACCAAAACTTTGGGGCTTAGAAAATAGCACCATCCATGGGGGGACTGCATTGTGAACTTGACTAGAGAATTGAACCTTGTATGTGTATTAAATTAAGAGAACAACATAGTAAAAAGGGCCCCAAAATTCCTCCCAAGTCTTGTAGGAAAGGTTTTAAAAATAAGATCTCTGATGTACCTTGTGAAGGGCTGAAAACCGAGTTGGTGGGCATGGATGATTTCTTTGGACCTGTGTTTAGTCAAGTCTTGCTTGTGGATAATTTTAGTAGACAGCATGTTGTGAGTCTTTTTAGCGCACCCAAGCATTGTAAGAAATGATGTGTTAAATTAAAAGTAAGCTTTATAGAAAATGTTATGCAAATAAATCTATGTTTGTGCTTGTAATTTCTGGCCAAAACTGAATCGGTAGGTATAGGCTATCTTGGGACATTATTACTTGCTAACAATTAGTAGTGTTTTGTTAAAAATGAAGTATAAGCACCTAGTTGATGAACCAAGCTTAGAACACGTTAAGGACTGTTTGGGCAGCATGTAAAGAGCTCCTTACTATGCCTTAGGACTGCCCTTTTAGACTAAATTAGTGAATTAGCCTTGCATGTTTTAATTCCTGGTGAACAGACCTTGGAGTTGATACTTAAGAGCCGAAATTGATAGTTTGTGAATTGGAAAAATAATCCCTTAATTCTGCCTTTTTGGACAGCCCTAGAACTTGATACATGTGGGTCTAAACCGATATCTTGTGAGCATGGAAATAGCTCTCTTTAAACTTTGTTGGACTGTTTCTTGAATTAGAAAAATTAATTGAGTCTTGCATGAGTGGCCAATTGTTGAAGGCAGCCTACTAGAAGGTTTTGCTCATGCTTAAGATCCGATTTTGGGCTTGAAAAACAGCCCTCATAATATGTGTAACCGTTTGTTGGATTAGAAGGAAGTAGCTAGCTTTAACCATGTAATGAATAAGTAGACAGCATGCTTAAGATTAGTTGGCGCATTCCTTGGACATGAGGACAATGTATGTAAATGAGAAATGGTGGGTCTCTAATTAATGGTCCTAACCGTGCATGTATGCTTAGGAAAACTTGGAATTTTTATCTGTTATTGAGTGGTAAAATTAGTACTAAGTCAGAAAATTAAACTAGGAAGAGAACCATGTAATTCGGCCAAGACCTTAGGAATGGAAACGTCTAGTTAATGACCTTAATAAAACCGGAGTTGCATGCTAGAAATCTTGGGTGTTGGCACGTGGTAACCTATGGTAATGCAACCTTGAGTCGGTGTATTAATTTAATTTAAGAACCTTGAAACCGATTATGAACCAAGAATTTAGGAGAATGGAAAAAGTATATAATGTATAAGAATAAATGTAACAAATTCTGATTTGGTGTATATGTTTGTTTAGGTGCGCAAGGTCCTAAATAATAGGACTGTTTGACGATATTTGGAATGCTTTGATTCGAAAGCTAAAGTATCAGGTAAGTGTCTGGTGGCATTACCTAATGTGACTATTAGCTAGCGTAGCTAGGGAGTTTTACCATCATGTTTTCCTTTTCTTTGGTCTCCATTAATCAGCCGTAGTCCATAAAACAAGGAGGTAACGTATGGTTGGGTTTCTTGATTTTTTTATGGTGAGGTTCCACTGTTAAAGGAACTAACTTAAGTAAACGTTTCTTCTCCACTCTTGTGCGCACAGCCACCATCAAGGAAGGCTGGACCTGCTGTCTTTGTGGAGCACAAGGGGTTGTGGTGTTGTTCCTTATTTCACTGTATTCCTAGTGTGCATGTAAGAGGTAGACTCGAAACCCTCACTTTTCCTCTGCTCAAAACCGTAAAGCATGGCTAGGAGATTAGTTCTTTTGTCTATTTTTGGTTTCATAAAAATCTGCCATGTCCACTCTTTGAGTATTAACTTGAAAGCCTAAGAACTAAACGTGGAAAGGATACTCTAATAACTTTTGGGACTGAGTTGGTACATTTAAGAAATTTGTCATGAATATAAGTAAGTGGACAACATGTTTAAACTCCTAAAAGCGCACCTATGGAGTATTTGTGTTGGATTAATGATCATTACTGTTTTGGTAAAAATGAAAACGGTTTTGCTCACTGTGTTACTAAAGAAATGCTCACTGTTTTACTAAGGAAATGCTCACTGTTTTGCTAAAGAAATACTCACTGTGTTACTCACTATCTTACATGAAAAACGTTCACTGTTTGATATGAAAATGTCACTGTTTTGCTCACTGTTTGGTTGGAAAAACACTCACTGCTTTGTTGAAAAACGCTGCCGTACATTGAAGTTTCTGTTCACTGTGGCGCTGAAAAATATTAGACAGCATGCTATATGATATAAGTAGCGCATCATGTAGGAGAATTGGAATTAAATAAAACTTTAAGGCCTTGTTCTGTTAAAACCTAATGGGATTGAGGATGAAAAATCGTAGAATATTTCATTATTTAACATAGGTTGGGGATGTGTATTTTATTAAATTAACTGGAAATTTTCCATAGAATAAACATGAAAAACCGAAGCTATGTAAAGTGGAAACCGTAAATATATATATCTTTACTGTTTAACGTTAAAGAAGACAAAAAATTGAAGTCAGAATAATTTTGGGAGAAAATAAACATGTTGGCCGAATGATATATGGACATTTTAGGCTTGGAGTATTGTTGTTCAATTATAAAAATAATGGAAACATACGCTGATTTGTATGCTTCTAAATTAGGTGCGAAATTTCCTTGAGACATTGGACTGTTTCACTGCTTACTGGTAAATTAAGGTTTCAACGTACGAGGTATGTGTTAGGCGGTATTACCTGATGTAACTATTGACTAGTGTATGAATTGTGAATTGTTGCTCACATGTGCCTTATGATTATTCTGCCTATGGAAATGTTATGATTATGGAAATTCTGTTATGAAAAGAAAGAATGGCTTGGCAGTATGGCATCCAATGTACATGAAGTATATGTTATGAAATGATGATATATGCATGCACCGTGCATCATCCCGCACTTGTCTTTTTGTTTGTGTGTGACAGCATAGCATGGCATGCATGTACCAAATTCATGATAGTCTTGAGTCTTAGAATAGTTATATATATATATATAGAACCATGTGATTGAGCACGCATCATATAGGCATCCCTTGATATCAGGGTACTGGGACAGTTGGCGTCAGTCTGCATAGGCCACAGTGGAATTCCCCAAATGATGGTGTCGTGCATGGAATTTCCACTGTGATGGCACGCGCACGACGGTGCTATGAGCATGATGAAGGCGTTATATACGCAATATGATATATGATGAAAAGGATATATGATGAAAAGGATTTCATGTTTGAAGCGACTGTTTATATTTTGTGCCTAGTTTAATACTGTTGCATTATTGGTTTTGTTGCCACACTACTGGGATTTTTCTCACCCCTTTGGGGCTGCTATTTTTACAAAATGGCAGGAGGACATAAAAGCTTTTGAGGACTTGGATATTTGTTGTTGGCTTCTACTGTTTTGGGCATGCTGCTATTGATGTGCTATTTTATGGATGACTGTATGAAATTGAGAAGTTTTTATTACTGTGAACTATGATTTTATTATTGCATTACGATTTTATGACCAGCAAGTATTTTGGAAACAGATGTTGAAACGTTTGCGAAAAGGATTTTGACATGTTATCTAAATGCTGAGTTTTGAAAAGTCTTTGCGAGCACTTTGTAAGTTGTCGTACTGGGGCTACGGACCTCCGATTTTCTTATAATTTATATGCACGCGTAGCCCAGGTGTCTAATTTCATTATATATAAACCTTGCAAAGAAATTTTGAAAGCTCGATTTATTATGAATTTTACCAGCCAGGACGTTTGTGATATTTTCACTGTTTTATCTCTTATTTTGCTAGTTATGTTTCGAGGGGCAAACGAACTTCAAATCACTATTATTTTATATGAACGTAAAGCCTCAGATGTCTAGTTTCCAGATTACAAAGAATATTTTTTGAATCGTTGAACTGGATTTTATACGAATTTTTAAAGACAGCAAGGTCTGTCAGGAAATTTATATTTTTAGTAAGTTGAAGAAATTTTGCGTACTTTGATTTTTGTAATTAACCAGATCCCCTTTTTAGTTTTAATTGGCAATGTGAAAGCAAATTTTTTTCAGCCTCTAAAATACTATTAAAGAACTCTAATTCCGCTTAGCAAACAACTCTCTTGGAGGCCTACAAGAGAGGGTGTTACAGAGAAGCATGAAAATGTGTGTGAATGTGTGTGGATGTGTTATGTAAGGTTCGGCTATGTTGAGTTAATTTGATTGGAATTGAAGTTAATTGATAACTAAACCATAAAAGCTTAAATAAAGAGTGTTTAAGTGAATTTGAAGGTTCAAGTCTCTAATTGTTAATGTGTGGATGTAGGTTTAACTTAATATCAAGTTTAAAGATAGGTTGACGTGTGGCATGGGCATGAATTGTTAAGAGTGAATTTGTAAAGAGTGTAATGTGGATTGCACAAGACATGAATCTTGTGTTACAAGTTGTTGTGTGTATGTCAAATCTAATGTACATCTAGGTACAAGTGTGAATCAGGAGATACAGTGATTCCTTACTGATGTTCAGAGGATTTGACTTGATTACTTGTTGTACAAGTAACCTTGCTAGGAGCTACTAGAGGTAAGCTCTTGGTTTAGGAGGATTATTCCTCTTTGTTTGTTCTACCAGGATTTCATTATCTTGGAGGTATATATGTATGTTTGTGTTTTGTGATAGTCAGATATATAGTGTAGTTGCATTCATATAGATGATAACATGATTTGATGTGATTTGAGTTGTGAAATGTTGGTTCTTGTACAATGAACATGTTCGGATAGGCCATGAGTGCACCTGAAATGGTTGACTCTGGTTGCTCTTGAGATTTAATTTCGGGAATTATCTGTGCAGACGAGTAGTTTGATATTTTTTTGTGATTATATGATGTATGTTATACTATATATCTGACCTTTCATGAGTTTACGAGATTTATTTCTCACCCTGTGTTGTGGGGATATATTTTAGGTATTCCAGCAGTTGTTGATCAGTCATCTCAGGGCAAGAGGCCTGTGAAGAGTGGCTAGTATTGGTTTTTGTATTTTGATCTGTGTGTGTGTGTGTGTATATATAATATATATATGCTTTTTGAGGTATGTGTAGTTTCCATGCATGTTATCAGCTGTTATCTTTTTGAAAGGCGTGTTTAGCCTTTAATTTAACTGTAATAAAGTTATGAATTTCTGTATGTATTTTTGTATTGGCTTTAAGCCATAGTTCAGTATACGAGGTATTTCAGTATGTATTGTATCTGTTGCAAATTAAGATTCGCGGGTTTAATTGTGTTCAAGACAGACACTGAGTCAGATTCTGTGTGAATTCATGGATGGATTCTAAGTCTGATAGTGTTTATTTATGTTTTGTGTAGATTTTCTGTATTACACGAATTTGGATTTATCCGAATTACAGCCGTTATGCAATCTGTGGGTTTTTGTTCAGAATGGTCTCTATGATCATGTTTGAATGGAATATATATGTCCAGTACATATATAACTAGAATTGATATAGGTTGATCGTTCAAGAAATTTGGACAGGTATGGGACTGTGCAGATTATAACATTTGAAATTAACTTTTGTACGTGGCAATGCAGGAAATAATAGGTTTTGCGTTAAATTGTTACTGCAAGGTAAATAAGAACATTAATAGGATAAAAGAAAAAGTTTATTCGTATTTTTGCCATAACTAGAACAATTATGCATGTTAAGCCTTTCACTTAATTCATAATTTGTAGAGCGCTAGTGTCCATATGTAGGTTAACTCACCTGCTGCAGACGGGGTCTTACACTCTTCACCTTCCTCCTATTATTCAGCCGTTTGAAATCCATTTCCTTTGGAAGTTCCTTTCTTGGTAATGTTCAAGGTCAGTTGATACAAGATGTTAAAACACATAAACAAAAGAAATCTAGAAGATTCGGTCATAGAGATTCAAAGACAGAGATTTAACAGTTTCATAATTTTTCTATTCCAAAAGATGTTAGCTCGTGTTTAACGACATGGATGAAGATACAAACATAGTCTTAACAACTTGAAATCCAATAGACCTGAGATACAAATTGGTGAAGATGAATAGGTAGAAAAGTACTTATAGACTCAAAAATAACAGAGAAAATAAGACTCAATAACACAAGACAAAAACTAAAGTGGAGAGGAGGGATATCTACTTAAAAAGGAAAAAAAAAAAAGAATAAAGTGTAATCCCCCAGAAACTTGCTACTATTACCTTTATTTGATCTTCTATTTATAGGCGGGGGGAAGACAGTGGCAAGTGATTTCTTGATCAAACGGAGGAAAGTGATTAGGGCTGAGCTATCTCTTTTGCTTTTTCTTTAACAAAGATGATTCTCTGACATTCGAATGTGCTCTGCATATTTTTCCGTGCTACAATATGTAGTAGTGTCCTTTTGTTCCGCGCATTCTGTCCTTTTTGTGTGCGTTCTCTATTCTGCTGTGTGCGCCTTGGTGTGCTTTTTTCAGAGTTGACTTCAAAAGAAAAAGCAACGATGAACAAAAGTTAAAATAAAGGACATCTCACTCTTGTCTTCCTCTTCTCCTTTTTCCATATTGGCAGTCATTCCTTAATGCAGATTATCCTTTTTACATTTGTACTAATATTTATACCTAAACATACTGAAAAGGGGTGGAACGACCTTCGTTTCGCAATAAAAATCAAGGTAGATAGGAATGAAATGTTGTCCCATCAATACATATATCCAAACGTCAGCTAATCTTTTAGACACTCTAGTCCTAAGCAACTCCATTACCCTTCGTAGGATTAACTTAGCTTTCAAAACTTCATGAATCAGTTTTCGTAATAACGGTTCTGAAATCCGTTTCAGAACACTTGTTGTTCTTAAAAGTTTTAAAACAGAATGCAAACAGAGTTCACTAATAATTTAAACATCCACAATTAGTACAGTCATCCATGAAAATAATACAATCACAGCAGCATGCCCAATAGTAGAAACCAACAGCAAATATCCAAGTGCTCAAAAGCTTTTACGTCCTCCTCCTATTTCATAAAAATAGCAGCCCCAAAGGGATGAGAAAAATCCCAGTAGTGTGGCAACAAAACCAATAATGCAACAGTATTAAACTAGGCACAAAATTGTAAACAGTCGCTTCAAACATGAAATCCTTTTCATCATATAACCTTTTCATCATATATCATTTTCATCATATAACATATTGCGTATATAACGCCTTCATCACGCTCATAGCACCGTCGTGCGCGTGCCATCACAGTGGAAATTCCATGCACGACACCATCATTTGGGGAATTCCACTGTGGCCTATGCGGACTGACGCCAACTGTCCCAGTACCCTGATATCAAGGGATGCCTATATGATGTGTGCTCAATCACATGGTCCTATATATATAACTATTCTAAGACTCAAGACTAACATGAATTTGGTACATGCATGCCATGCTATGCTGTCACACACAAACAGAAAGACAAGTGCGGTATGATGTACGGTGCATGCATATATCATCATTTCATACATATACTTCTTGTACATTGGATGCCATACTGCCAAGCCATTCTTTCTTTTCATAACAGAATTTCCATAATCATAACATTTCCATAGGCAGAATAATTTTATTATTTATGGCAGAATAATCATAAGGCACATGTGAGCAACAATTCACAATTCATACACTAGTCAATAGTCACATCAGGTAATACCGCCTAACACATACCTTGGCACTTTACTTTTAAATCAAGCATTCCAAACATCATCGACAGTCCAATTATCTAAGAGCTTGTGCACCTAAACAAACACATACATGGAATCAGAATTTATTACTTTCCTTTTCTATATATTACAGAGTTGTCCCATCCTCCTAATCCTTGATTTGTGATCGGTTTCCAGGTCCATATACTAAGCGAATTTTCTGCCATTATATTAATTTAAAATAATTCGTGTGAAATAATTGAATCGGTTCCCACATAGGTACAACAAAGGTTTTCATTAAATACTTTATGTGTAAAACTTAAGTCAGAATCCATAGGTTAAACAACTAAAATTCTGCATACAAACATTGCTGCGAAAATGAAACTTTCTTCTTAAACCTGCCTGACTTACAAAATTTATATAAAATCGGTCTTAACAGTTTACAAAAAATTTCTTTGTTACGAAGGAAGTGCACATATGGGGCTACGCGTACATATAAAATATAGCTCAATCGGAGTTCCGTAGCCCCAGAAACAGAACTCGCAAAATGCCTAAAATTTCAGCCACTTATATATTTCTCTTTCAGGTAATTGGTGACCGAAACAAAAGGAAGAAAAGAGGCTTAAACTCAAATTTATCATCTCTCAATTTCTAGTTTTCTAACCAAGTTATTATGCTTCAATGTTGGCAGCTTTCTGCCCTTAATTTATTTTCTTAATAGATATCAATTGACAAAACCATAATTTTCGAACAAAACATATTTCCAAGACAAAATTTCCAACAGTTCTCAAACCAGTTCACGTTATCATTTCTAAGGTAGAGTTTTCAACAAGCCATAATCCAATCCAAGTTATTTTATCCCAAAACAGAATTTCAGTCTATTCTTTGAGAATTATGCGCACCTACTTATATAAGGATAGCAAATCAGAAATTGTTTCAGGCCAGTTCTATAGTTTTCAGATCACTTCCTTTCTACCAATATTTATAAAAGAGATATACTCCAATTTTCCAAAATCTGTTTTTAGGCATGTATGCACACTAGTTCACGTTTTAAAACAGAATTAATGAAAGGGTTACGAAAATAAATTTTATTTCCTAAGAGCTACTCAAAAGGGCAGAATTTATGTGCACAAGTTTTTACTTCAACAAGCACTACCCAATTTTTCTTAGGCTAGAATAAACAAGCCTTTAACACACTGATTTCGCCCTTCCGGGCACATGAGAGAGCTAATAAATTTTCTAACCCAATGGACAGTCCCACATAGTAAAACAAGGGCTATTTCCAAGCTCCTAAGAAGATCAATTTCGGTTTTCCTATGTCAATTTCAAGGCTGTCAACAAACTTCAGTTTAAGGCTTACACTCGTTGCATACTAGAGCTGTTCTTAAGGGCAGAATTCAAAGGGAGTAAATGACCAAAATAAATGTTCTCCAACATGTACAAGGGAACCGAATAGATAAGAAGCAAGCGAAGGTTATTAGCTTGACTTACGACTGTTTTCAAGGGGTTCGAGTTGTATAATTCGGCCATGGGGAGCCGTGATCCAAACTGCCCAATTTCTCCCTCTAAAGCTCCAAGGAATCGGTTTCAGTGGCGTGCCATAGAAGAGGGGACCCAACCAGGACTGGGTCAGTGACATGCAATGAGAAAGAAGTTCAAATCAGATCCGGTTCTAATAAAAGAGGTGATAAGACAGCAAACGAAATAATTCACCTTCTTCCTCTTGAGGATGACGGTGTGCACAATTTGGGGAGGATGGAAGGTGGGAATTTAAATGACAATCTGCATGCAGCAGAACCTCCAACAGGGCGAAGGGAATCATGGAAAACAATGGAGTAATAAAACAGCACAATTTCTTTGCTTGTGTACACGGCCGGCAGTGAGCAGAGAAGGGGGGAATGCTTGAAAGTCTCTCTAACCTATGAAACTCACGGTTTGTGAGAAGGGTGATTAGGCTGAGTTTTAGCTGGGGTTCACTTACCATACACATGGAAGGAAATAGGGTGATAGACTACTCACAATCAACCCAATGTTCAGCCAAGAAGGAACAAATATTAAACTTTTATCTTCCCCAAGTGTGCGCACGAGTGTAGGAGGAGATAATAAGAAACGATGGGTGCTTTTCAACCAATGGGGAGACATGCAATTAGGTTGGACCAATAAGAACCATACATTCAGATTTCCCTTGAAATAATTTAATTAATAAGTTATAAGTTTTTGGGCTGTTGTAGTTTCCTCTCCATTGCTTTGGGCCATACATTCAAAAGGCTAGGTGATGGCCCAATCTCATCATCAAAAGCATCTTATTTCATCTATCTTATGTTTATATTATTTATTTTTCTATCCCCTCTAATCATTACTCAGAATATATATATATATATATATATATATATATATATATATATATATATATATAGGCAGGATATTCTTACACCGGTGTAAGAGTTAGAAGTTTTACACTCAATCTTGACCATTGATCCACTTGTATCCGACAGCTCACATTACTAAAAAATTTGAGCTCTTAGATATAAGTGAGATTAACAGACAAGATTAAGAGTGTAACTTACACTGGTGTAAAATGATCCTGACCCATACATATATATATATATATATATATATATATATATATATATATATTACAATTAAGTTAATCCTATCCTCTTAAATTAGAATTCCAATTCCTAAAATATACGCTTACCCCAAAATCATATTTAACATAATTTTTATGATTTAGATTCAATTCCACCCTATACATAAATTGGATTTTAATTTCAAGCATGCTTCACATCTCTATTTGTAAGTTAAATAATTTTCTAATTATGCGGAATGTTACAAAAATGAAGACCGTGTTTTTTATTAAGGACCAAAAATGGTATTTCCTATGAAAACAAACTCAATCTGAATATTTAGGGTTAAATTTGATTTTGATTTGAATACAATAACAGTAAGGATATTTGGTAGAGGTTTTATTTTCATATTTATGAAAAATTGAGAATGGTAATTTAATTTATTTATATTTAGTGGAAGATTTTTGAAAAAAATTTGGGAATATAATTTTCTCATAATTTTATTTTGTGTGTAAAATATAAATCAAAATAGTACCAAAAAAATACCATCCATTTTCCCAGAAAAATGAAAAATTAGAAGCAAAATGTTTTATAATATTTTGACATACTAAATAATTTTTTGTTAATATTCTAAAAAAATCTATTTTCTATCATATTTTCGAAAACTGTGATTTTTTTTCTATCAACCATCCCCTTTGTTAAGAGCCAGTGTTTCTTAAAATTGGTCGAAGTAGAGATGTGCATGGAGTGGTTCGGTTCGGTTCGGTTTTTTTCAAAAATCTAACCGAACCAGTTTTAAATGGTTTGGGTTTCAAACCGAACCGGTTTTATATTTTAAAATCGGTTTTAATTTTTTCAAACCGATTTGAAACCGGTTCCAAAATCAGTTTATGGATTATAACCGATTTTGATTTAAAACCGGTTCTGAACCAGTTTTAATTCAAAATCGATTTTAAATCAAAACTGGTTTTTAATCAAAAATCGGTTATCAAATTAAAACCGGTTTTATAACAAATTTAAAACTGGTTTTGTAACGCTCGGCCACTTGCAAGAATCAATTATTGTCCCCACACACTAACACGAGACTTTTCAGTGTGCTTTGTCCTCACTCGCACACTTCCCGGAAAAACTTCCCAGGAGGTTACCCATCCCAGAATTGCTCCAAGGAAAGTCAAACACGCTTAACTGTGGAGTTCTTCCAATCCGGGCTACTGAAAAGTAGATGCATCTTGTTAGTATAGGTAGTACCAATTAATTCTTATAAGTCATTCCTAACTGTACCGTCCCATACCAGCGCAATCTCTGGAATCCCTCTCTTTCGGGTGTTGATTCGATTCATTCATGAACCCCCAAGCTGCAATATTTGGCATGAGCCGCTCATTGTCCGCGCCCTTTCGCACCGGCGATCACTCCCTGCCCTTGCCAGCTCTTGGGATGTTACAACTTTAGTATCTTACAAAAAAATTAGTGAGTTGGTCCCTAATAAATTCAAAGTGGACCTATTTAGTTGAAATCGTGGTTCCTCACAATTTCAAAAAAGATTCATATTAGTCCCTCAAAAGAACTAAAATGAGTCCACTCTAAATTTGTTAAAGACCAACTGACTAATTATTTTTTATAATAGAATAAAGTGGGACCGTGTTTTTTATTAAGGAGACCAGGATATTTACTGTTGTTTTTTATATTTGAATAGGAAGGTGTACTAGGAGTGAGTGAGTGTTACGACATAAGGATTGAGTTTATTTTGCATTTACCTTGTTTTTTCTTTCCAACTGTTCCGCTGTCGGCTGCGCCCTCCCGATTTGATTTCATGGATACCGATCAAATCACAGGATTGACGTCAAGATCACCGGAAGCGCAGGAGAACAGAGGCGCCGGAGGCAAGCTTATAAAACCGCAGCCTAGAAAGCCACCCGCTAGCCCTTACGCCCGTCCGCCGGAGGCTGTGCGCCGCCGTTGGATTTCAAAACTCGTGGATCCTGCTTACCGCTTCATCGCCGGTGGAGCTACTCGTATTTTGCCTTCCTTCTTCTATACAGCGGCTCCCGCCTCTGCTCCTACTAGCGACAGCTCTACAGCTGACGATCAAGGTCAGATTCTGTTTCTCTCTCTCTATTGTTCTCAATTTCTCGCGTTTTTACTCAATTTTATTTTTTGTGCTATTCCCCCTTTAAATTATTGTTTGTTTTAAATTCTTGAATGATTTGTTTCTGTTATTTCTCAGATGAAATTACCATAGTTTGTGAAAACATAAATAATTGTGCGTTTATAGTAAAATTTGTTTAAATATGGCTTATTTGTTTGCTAAAAGTCCAACCTGAATCGATGAATAATCATTGTTGTGAGCAGGGTCATACTCATCATAGTCATTAGAAAGAAATTAAACAATGTGAGTGCTAAAATATCAAATTAAATGACAAAATAGTTTGCCTAAGCTTTGTTGCTTAAATGTGAGGGAGTTGAGTATGCAATTGTTCCTAGAAGCAGTCACTTCTACAAATCTTTCCCGAACAAAAAGTATTAATTTGACGCGTAATGATAGAATATGAATTTTGAAGTCCTAATTTATTAGTCTAACTATCGATGTTGTCAAGATTGTGAGTTAAATCGTAGGAGTCTAAGATCCTATGATTTTTTTTGCCTCTAACGATCTAGATCTGTAGTAAGATCGTTTGAGAGTGAGATCGCCTTCTTAAATTGTAAAATTGGTGGGATTGTGCAATCCCACCATTCTGGCAATTCTGAAAAAAGCCAGAAACCATAGAAGGGAGAAAGAGAAAGATGGCAAGCGAAGTGGACTTTCTGATTTGATGAAGCAAAGTGCTGGTGGGGAAACCTCTCTTTGCAAGGTTTACACCTGCGACTTGAGGAGATGTGGTTGTGATCTTTCCTTTTTTTCTCAATTTTCTTATTTTAGGGATTCAATAGCAGGAATTGAAAAAAAAAAAAAAGGAACATTTTTTTATATACTAGGTATTAGATATGTAGCTGTAGCTTCTTTAAATGTGCTTGCATGTATTAGATCCTTTTCCTATCAAGTCTGTTACAGATCTGTTAGCTGTCAGTTATCATTGTATTCAGTTAGTTAGATCATCACTTTATATATAGTGATAAAGTGCATATTGTATAATCAGATTATATAATACAATTCTTACATTCTCTCTCTTTCTTCTCTCTCTCTTTCTCTCATCTATGGCTTCTCTCAAGAACTCGAATATGGTATCAGAGCCCTCTTTCTGAGGGCCTGATCCATTTTCGTGCTCCACTATGTCTTCTGCATCGAACACCAGCAACAACGCTTCAACAGAAAATAGCATTCCAGCATCTTCTAGGTCGAACACAGATTCAACACAAATGGAGAATCGTGCACCACTTCTATTCAATCATCAAATCACTGTGAAGCTCACTGAAAACAGCTATCTGTTCTGGAATCAAATAATCGAACCTATTATCACTTCACACCAACTTCATCGTCACCTGGTGAATCCAAAGATTCCAATTCAGTTCGCATCTGAAGAAGATCTTGAGAACGAGATCCAGAATCCAGAGTATGTGCAATGGATTACACAAGATTCAATGTTGTTGTCTTGGCTTCTATCAACAATCTCAGAATCTGTTGTCAACGAAATTCTTGGAGTCAAATATACATACGAAGCTTGGGATAAAATACACAAGCTCTTTCATGGAATGATGAAATCTAGATCTCGTCAATTGCGCTCAGAACTAAGAACCATCAGAAAAGGTAATAGATCTGCAAAGGAATACTTGTCTCGAATCAAAAGCGTATGTGATTCGTTAAAGGCTATAGGAAATCCAGTCACGAATGAAGATAGAACAGATTACGTACTGGAAGGACTTCCAGTCGAGTACAATGCGTTTGTAACCACCGTTCATGGAAGAGAAAATCCTTACTCCATTGAGGATCTGGCTATAGAGTTGATGACACATGAACAGATGCTGGTGAAACAAAGTGAATCCCTTCTTGACTCTGTCACTGTGAATGTAGCTCAAAAACAGAGCAACACTGCTGAGACAACTCCTCTGTTTGCCCCTGTTTTAGCGAATCAGGAACAGAGCACTGGTAAGGTTTCTGAACAGATTGGTTTTGTTAATACTCTTCGTTCTAATGACTTCAACAGAGGACGAGGACGATATATTGGAAGAAACAATAGAGGTAGAGGCCGTGGGAATAGACAAAACATTCATTGTCAGCTCTGTTACAGATACGGTCACGATGTGAGATCTTGCTGGCATCGTTTTGATGAAAACGTCATACCCACACTTCCACGTCCACAGAGTTCATCAAATGGTCAATTCTTTGCTCAAAGTCAGACTCCACAAGTCCAGCAGCGAAATTATCAATATGTTCGACCTAATTGTCAGTATGTTCGACCTGTTACTACTGTACCTCAAGCTATGATGACTGTACAACCAGGATTGCTTCCAACTCCAGCCTCTTCTCCAGCCATTGAGTGGTATCCAGACTCAGGTGCTTCACATCATGTTACTGCAAACTCAATGAACTTGATTCAGAGTCAACAACTAAGTGGTTCTGATCAGGTCATCATTGGTAATGGGCAAGGTTTGAACATTAAAGCAATTGGATCTGCAAGTTTTATGTCACCTTGTGATTCTAATACAAGCTTGCATCTTAAAAACCTTTTGTTAGTTCCTTCAATCATGAAAAACCTTATGAGTGTCAGTCAATTTGCCAAAGATAATTGTGTTTACTTCGAATTTCATCCCAATGTTTGTTTTGTCAAATCACAGGTATCTCATAACATCCTTCTTCGAGGAGTGCTTGGAGATGATGGTCTGTACAAGTTCTCAGACATATCACTTCCTTTGAAATCTGCTCCTTGCACTCTGCCATCCACAACTTCTAGCTCAGACAACACTTCTTCTGGTGCTATTTCACAATGTAATCTTGTTCATAGTGTCAATAAAACATCCTTCTTCGAGGAGTGCTTGGAGATGATGGTCTGTACAAGTTCTCAGACATCTCACTTCCTTTGAAATCTGCTCCTTGCACTCTGCCATCCACAACTTCTAGCTCAGACAACACCTTCTGGTGCTATTTCACAATGTAATCTTGTTCATAGTGTCAATAAAACTGTCAATCATACTGATCAGTCTTGTAATAGTAATAGACAATCATGTATGCCTTCAGATTCTGCATTTTTCTTATGGCATTGCCGTCTAGGGATCCTAATCATGTAACTTTGACAAAGGTGCTTCACTCTTGTAACATTCTTGCTTCAAATAAAATTGTCAGTGAATTTTGTTCATCTTGTTGTCTTGGTAAGGCACATAGACTCCCCTCATATCCCTCTCTGTCTGAATATGATACCCTCTTTGCTCTACTTTATAGTGACCTTTGGGGACCAGCTCCTTTTACATCAACCATGGGATACACTTATTACCTGTCAATTGTTGATGCCCATACCAGATACACTTGGATTTATTTACTGAAACAAAAGTCTAATGCTTTTCCTATATTTAAACAATTTCACTCATTGGTAACAACTCAATTTCAGCTACCTATTAAGGCTTTACAAACAGATTGGGGTGGGGAATTCAGATCATTTTCTGATTATCTTAAACTCAATGGCAACAGAAATGGACCTCTGAACCCTAGAATTTGACTTTGAGATTCAATATCATTCAAGCAAGAAAAGCTTGTTGCGGATGCCCTCTATAGAAAGATACAATTGGCTGTCCTCTCACGGTTAACAGAACAAGGTTCAACATCTATGACCAGCAAACTTATTACAGCCAGCAAACTTTTGTGGGGGAATTACTACGACCTCAAGGAGTGGATACTCTATTTGTAATAGTTGATTGCCTTGCAAAATATGCTCACTTCATTCCACTGAGTCATCCTTACACAGTCAAAGAGGTAGTTGATGTATTCATCAAGGATATCGTGAGGCTGCATCGGTTCCCATTGACCATAGTATCTAACTGAGAAAGTTTTCTTGAGTTCCTTTCGATATGCATTATATAAGAGTTATGGTACAACTTTGAAATACAACACTGCATTTCATCTGCAATCTAATGGCCAAAAGAATTTTGTTGATCGTTGCCTAAAAATGTATTTAAGAGGTAATTTCACTACGTTTTCTAGAAAATTGGCCAGCTTTTCCTTTGTTTTTTACAACTAATCTCATTTCTTCAAATGGGTACCTAATAGCATGGAATGGCATCCAAAGGTTCAACATACCTTGGTGCACTTATTTTCTTCAACATATGTCATATTATTGTCCTTTCTTAATCCTCAAGTTATTATTCACAAGTTACTTAAACCACAAGTTACCTCTTTCAATACTTATCATTTTTACATCATCAATTTCATACCTATTCCAATCATTCATATCCTCCAATTATACATTTCATATTCATTATAAGGCATCAAAATATACCACCACATATCACAATAGCCTTTTAGGCCATTCCATCATTTTTTTTTTCCGTAACATTACATATCCAGATAACCAAATGAATATAAATACAGTTACACCATTTGACACAATATGCATTATTAATATTACATTTACAAGCTTAACTTCAATGTATATACAAGTATTTACAAATACCACATGTCATCTTTCTCATACAAAATAATGAACATACATCACTTGATCACTAAAGCTACAACATGTCAGCACAATCCAACTCCAAGATATCTGAGTCTCTCATGCTCCATGTGAGGTCCTACCTCCTTCAGTGGGAGTACCTGAAATGTGGTCCCCCAAATACGGTGTGAGATTTTACAATCTCAGTAAACCAAGGGTCCTGGAGAGTCACTTTACCCAATAATTCACTCAATGTGCATGAGCAATAATACAAGCATAGTAAGAACATACATCCAACACAAGCACTGGGCACAAAATCCAAGAACATGCATCATAAATATCGTTCAAGGACCCCATTATATAACTCCCGAGACTTCTTAGAGTGCTCCCAACAGACGACAATAAGGTATCATACCAATTGGAACTCTCTCATGGAGACTTATCCAGTGGAAGTCTCTCAACAATATTCTACTGGCCAGACAACCCAATCATATATATATATCACGCAAGCATGT